AAACTGTGTTTAGGACTTATTTCTTATATGTCTACTCAGGTATCACTCCTGGTAGGGCTTATGGGGCAATATGTGGTGCCAGGGATAGAATCTGGGTTGGGTGCATGCAAGGAAAATACCTTGCCTGCTCTACTATCTCTCTGGCCCCTCGATTACCTCCTCTTCTTTTTTTTTTTTTCCCTTTTAGGGTCACACCCAGCAATGCTCCCAGAGGTTACTCCTGGCTCTGCACTCAGGAATTAGTCCTGATGGTGCTTAGGGGACTATATGGGATGCCGGGGATTGAACCTGGGTTAACAACATGCAAGGCAAACGCCCTACCCGCTGTACTATCACTCCAACCCACCTCTTTTTTATTGATGACATTGTGTGCTTTTTCTTTGAGATCACTGATAATGATTTCTGGTTTTTTCCATTCTGTTGCTGAAAATTACTACTTTAGCTCCTTAAATTTTATTTCAATGAATTCTTTAATTTTTTGATCAATCTTTATTCATTTATTTTCCTATCTATTTAGTTACATCGCTTTATTTTTTCATTATTAATGGTGCTTCATGGGTGCTAGGGTGGAGCTCTGAGTTCTAGGAGATGGTGCTAACGGTGGAGCCCTGAGTTCCAGTTGGTGGTGCTTAGGGTGGAGCTGAGTTCCAGGTGGTGCTACCATTAATATGTTTTATGCTTATGACTACTGATTTCTGCACCTACTTCTATTTCTCATCAGGACCAGTGGGCTCAGATATAGGCTCTGAATTCTAACCAGGGTGGGTGGGAGTCAGGGATTGTTGGGTCATATTGAGACCTCCTGGGTTTTCAATAGGTGGGAGGGAGAGCAAGAGGCGTTTACAGAAGCAGAAGAATGGGTGGGGATCACAGTCTAGATTTAAAGTAGAGGAGCAAGGAATGTAAGAGAGCAGAGGAAAGATGAGACTGGCAAGGCTGTGGTGGATCTTCATGAACAAGGTGGGTTTAGGCATCTTCTGGTGGTGTGGGGGCAACAAGCAGAAAGGAGCTCTGTCAATAAAGATGAGCCTATACGTGGATTTTTGACTGCACAGGGTCAACACTATAAAAAAATCTACACCTTTACAATCTTGAATTATTTTGTTATTTGAGGAAGGATTGAGTAGCCCCTACCCCCAGTGATGGTAAGGGCTACTGCTGGCTCTGTTCTCAGGGGTCACTTCTGGCAATGCGTAGGGGATAATATGGTGCCGGGGAGGGAAACAGGGTTGGCCACATGCAAGTGCCCTAACTCATGAATTATTTCCTAGGTTCAGGGTCAGCACTTTTTGTTTTCCCTCCCTCCCTCCCTTCCTTCTTTCCTTCCTTTCTTCCTTCCTTTTCTTCTTTCTTTCCTTTTTCCTTTTTTTTTTTGTGACACCCAGAGCTGTACTCAGGCCTTACTCCTGTCCTGGGTCAGCGCTTCTGGCAGCCCTTGAGGGACCATATTTGATGATAAGGATCAAACCTTGTCAGTTGTGTATAAGGCCTTACTCACTGTACTATCTCTCTGACCCTGAGGGTCAGTAGTACTCTTAACCCTGGGTTATTAAAAGGTCAACTATAATTTCTCTTTTCTCTGACCTCCCAGGGCATTCTATTTTCTTTTAACTCAAAATAGTTTTCCATTTGTTATTAAATTATCCATCTTTTTTTTGGGGGGGGTCTCACCCGGCGATGCACAGGGGTTACTCCTGGCTCTGCACTCAGGAATCACTCCTGGTGTTGCTTGGGGGACCGTACGGGATGCTGGGAATTGAACCTGGGTCAGCCATGTGCAAGGCAAATGCCCTACTCGCTGTGCTATTGCTTCAGCCCCTAATTATACATCTAACTGTTATCAGCAGAATATATATATACTCACAGGTCTGAATCTTCCTGGTTTGACCCTGGCATTGCATATGGTCCCTTCTGAGAGGAATAGCCAGGAATAGGCCCTGAGCACTACCAAATGTTATTCAAATCCTTCTCCCACCAATATTTTAAGAGTTCGCTTTTGCATTATTTTCCACAGTTGGGGGACATCATACATGTCTTCATCTTATTTCACTTAACATAATTCCTCTAGGGTTTTAAAATACAATAATCTTATTTTTTTTTTCATGGGGCCACACATGGCAATCTTTCAAGACTTTCTCATGGCTGTTTGCTCAGGAGTCACTACAGGTGGTGCTTGGTGATCATTTGTTGTTCTGGAGATTTAACCAGGTTCAGCAGTATGTAAGGCAAGTTCCTTACCCCTTATACTACTACCAGGCCCCTGTAGCACTGTAGCACTGTCCTCCAGTTGTTCATCGATTTGCTCGAGTGGGCACCAGTAACATCTCCAATGTGAGACTTCTTGTTACTGTTTTTGCCATATTGATTACGCCACGGGGAGCTTGCCAGGCTCTGTCGTGCGGGTAGCCCCTAAACTTTAAAAAAGTGCATAATATTCTACTATATATAAATACTACTGCTTCTTTATTAAATCTATTATTCTTTATTCATCCATTGATAGACATGTAGGCTGTTTTCTATCTTGGCTTTTGTAATGCTGCAATTAACATAGTGCATATATCTCTTTGTGTTATTTAAGTACATAGAAGGGAAATAGCTGGACTACTATTGCCTTTCTTTTTCTTTTTTTAGAAGTCACCATACTGTTCCCCATAAAGGCTGTATCAGTTTACCTTCTTACCAACAACATACTACGATTCCCTTTTCTCCAAATCCTTGTATCCCTTTGTATTCTTACACAATGTCTTGATAAATTCTGCTGAACAGATTGTGACTAGAATATAGTTTTCCTGTACCAATTATTAAGTAGGTGCTACTGCTCAGATTTTGTAGTTTAAAAAAATATTCAGGTTTTAAAGGTAAATAGGAATCTAGGTCTGTGGTTTATTATTTGTTGAGCAAGCATTCAACCAGAAGTCTCTCTTATACTCTGCCCTCAAACCATCTTAACATGCCATGTAGTTCAATAGTAGATCACCAAAGTACCTAAGAATAGAATAATAAAACTCCAGGTCACTTGAAGCAAAGTAGAAATGGTTTGACTAGTTGTAACAACGTTTGGAATAACGGTTCCACATTTCAAAAAATCATGAATTTGTCCGGATATTTTTCTAAATGTTTCATGGAAAATTATTCAACTTGTGTATTACACTAAGCAGAGTACATAATAGGCACACGGTGTCGAGGAAGACTAGGATATTCCCAGGGAAAGTATAAAGAACTAGGGGCTGGAGCAATAGCACAGCAGGTAGGGCGTTTGCCTTGCACGCTGCCTACCCAGGTTCGATTCCCAGCATCCCATATGGTCCCCTGAGCACTGCCAGGAGTAATTCTTGAGTGCAGAGCCAGGAGTAAGCCCTGTGCAACGCCAGGTGTGACCCAAAAAGAAAAAAAAGAGTATAGAGAACTAAATAAAACCACGGAATATAAAAATATATATATGAAAAAAATGGCTAATGTTGAAAGGATGATTTGTACAAACTACATAGAACAATCCCAGACTCTTTAAACTGGGATTAAAACTAAGCCTTTTGTTTTAATGCAGGAAAATGACAGACCACACTAACCCCAATTTAAAACCACAGAATCACTTTCATTTTTGGCTTAGAGAAGAAAACTTTGATAAAAAATCAAAAATGATTGAGTTTCTGCGGTTGTTTTAACGTTTGAGGTAATACTCATGGTGTTAGTTTTTAATTTCTTTCCTTTTACTTGAGTCCGAGGTCGTTCCCGGTGGTGCGGGGGAACCAGGAGTGTACCCTTTGAACTTTCTCTGGCCCTCCATAAGATTATTTCTTTAAAAAAATTCCTATTAAATTGCCATTCTTACGTAGAAAACTTTAAGGATAGTGGCAGTCTCCAATTTGGCAGAATATTGGCAATAATTAAGTATATTATGACGATAACTTCCGTTCTTGGTCTGATTGTCCTTGAATGAGGCATGAGGATCGTTATTCTATATTACGCTGCTTAAGTACTCATTTCCTATTGGCGTGGAAAACACTTTATCACAGGTGGAAACCAGGATATTCTCTCGAACCAAAAAGTGATTCAGTGTGCTTCAATGAAGTTCTTCCAAGCAAAATCTGTTTTCGTAGCATTGCTGAAACCAGGTCCTCTTCTTGGCTTCCTTGGCAACGCCCTGCCCACTGCTCAGAATTGTGCAACTCTTACTCATCCTTCAAGATTTAGCTCAAGTATCGCTTTCCAGCGGAGGCTCCCTCAAAGGGAGAGAGGTGGTCACTCCCAGCCTCGACGAGCAGCAAGGCTTTCCAACTCATCGGGTGAAGGAAGTGTCCCTATTCCGGCGAGTTTCACCCCAGGGCGAGCTTGGAGGGCTGCGCAGCGGCCACACCTCCCCGGCACAGCCCCTGTGAACAGCCCAGTTCAACGTCGGGTTCGCTGTAGGCTCAGGCTGAAACAGAGTTGAGGGAAAGAAACTCTTACTTGGCGACCCCGCTGCCCCCACGGAGCAGGAGCTCATCCCCGTCCAACCGCAGGCGTTTCAGCCGGCACGCGGGTTCCCGCCAACCCAGCGTTTAAAAACAAACAGCTGTGCGCGCCGGCCACCTGAGGGGGTGCTCCCCTCCGGCTGCCTCTCCTCAACCCGCAGCTGTCAATACTCCGCAGCCGAGCCGGCTGTGCGGGTCCCGGTATCGCACAGTGGAGGAAGAAATCGATTTCCCAGAGCCAACGAGGGGCCCACAGGTATTTCTTCAGGAGACTGGAGAGACACTCCGCTTTTTTTTTTTTTTTTGTCTAACGGTGACAGAAACCCACGGGAAAACGTAGGGAATCAAAGGCTTGGGGGAGGGCTGGGCCGAGAATTAAGCCGGGGATTCTGAGCCGACGTCCGTGAGGAAAGGCACCTGTCAATCGGCCGAGGCAAACCTGAGGCTTTTAAAAAGCCCACAATGAAGCTCTAGCTCCCCAGGCAAACCTCCCACTCCGCGCCCCGCCCACTCCCGGGGCAGTGAGCTTCCATTCTCGCGAGAGCACAGATCGCCTCGCTACTTCGGACTGCTGACTCTCGCGAGAAGGAGCTTAGGAGCCGGCCTGCAACCTGCGGGCGGCACGGGGAGCCGCTGCCGCGTGAGTGGCGGCCAGCAGTCACCTCCGAAGGGAACCAGTGGGCAGGAGCGGAGGTGTCGCTGGCACTGGCCACTGCATAGATCTTCGGTGACCATTCAACGGGCATTACAGGTTCGGGGGGACTAAGCTCAACCGGGGGACCGAAGGTGGGGGCGGCGCCCGAGGCTGGGCTTGGACGGGGGCGAATCTGGGCGAGGGAGCCGAGTTGCTATGGGGGAGGTCTGGGAACCTGCTGGGAACCGTGGGTGGGATTCTGGGCGCCGGCCGCTGCCACCAGTTGGGGTCGTCAGGGATGGACTTGGGTTTCGGGAGTGCTGCTTTGGGGGTCGGGAGTTCCGAGGCCTCTTCCTCAGGAGTGGAGGCGATCCCCTCATCCCTCCTTCGCGGCGCGGAGTCGCCCCCGTGCCCCGCCCCTTTTCTGTCAGCCTGGGCTGGAGCCAGACATCCCACGGAGGACGCATCACAATCGGGGATTCGGTGGCGGGTAGTCATCGTTTGGGGGCAGAGGAGTGAGATTTCAAGAATGTGTTGCGTGGTTTTTAACGTGCTGCCTAACAGAGTCGTGCGTGGCAGAGCGTGTTTTGCCCCAAACTTGCTCCCGGGAGAGCTTCAGGCGCGAGTCATCCACTCCCCAAGTGTTCCCGGGTCCGGGTTGCCCGGAGGTGAGCCATTTCTTAGTAACCGGAGAGTGTGGGGGCGATGTGGCCGTCCTCGGGCCTCCGAGATATGGTACTTGTCCTCGGTGCTCCTCAGTATTGTGGGTCCGTGATGAAAAAAAGTCACTAGTCCGGACATGCCTCAATTGATAGGTTAATGGAACCTCAGCGTAACCTCAGCTTTTAGTTGATGGGGAAACTTTTCAAAAATTGTGAGTAGACGACTTGCCTTTTATTTAAAGTAATATTATCGGACCAGCTCAGTATACTGATTTTCATTTGGACAACTTGGAATAAGTGAGAATAAGGAATGCAACCATCAAGAGTTTTTGTACTGCAGAGTCCATCCTGGACTGAGGTTCAAAGCTTTAGAATAAGGTTAGCATTTGAACAGAAATCATGAGGCAGTAAAAAAACTTGGGAAGGAACTTGAGGGTGAATTAAGACTGTAAGAAGTGTATGAGCTAATTATTGGTGACAAAATGCTTTAAATTTCTCCGACATTTTGAAGAATTTTTAAAAAACTTATGAGAAAGTGGGATGGGAAGTTCTGAAACACGGGAGTCGAGATAATAAACTGTAGTGTTGAGGTAATAAACTATAGAATAACATCGCTTATAGTGATGCTTTAAATGTTTGTACACTATTTCTGAGTTTTCACCCTTTTCTTATTCCAAAAAAGATTTCAGGTGGACTTTTGGTCTTCATCATGTGGTCTTTCCACCTGTGTATATGTTTTTTTCTTTCTCATTGTTTCTTGCAAGCTTTGAAAAATAGTGTAGCATCAAGGAAGGAAGTAGCTTGTCAGTAAAAATTGCCCACATGAGAGCTGATTCCTGCCAGTGATCCCTGAACACAGCTAGGTATAATCCCAGATCCACCCCTCCCCCCCCCAAAAAAAAACAACCATGAAGTGGACCTTAGGGAGAATAAGTGTGGAAGGTCTTTGATGGAACTAAGAATAGGAGAGTAGGGGCTGGAGAGATACTATTACGTGTAGGGCAATATCCTGTATGCAAATCACCCTACTTTATCTCTCCTATGCACCACTGGTGTCCCTGAGTGAAGACCCAGGACTAATTCCTAAACTTAGGTGTGGCCCACAAAAACAAAACAAAAAGATGATAGTATGCTAAGTGAAGGAGAGTTGATAAGGAATGTTAAAGCATTAAGTAGCTTTTTGTCTGCATTTTGCAGAAGAGCCCTACCTTTTAAAATTTAAAATTTATCATAGCTTATGCAAATTTATACTGTATAGAATATTGTCCCTTTGTGTGTGTGTGTATATGTGTGTGTGTGTTGGGGCCACACCCAGCTGTACTCAGGGTTTGCTCTTGGCTTTGTCCTCAGCAGTCATTCCTAGTGGGGCTTGGGCTACCCATGGGGTGCTGGGAATCTAGCCTGTGTAGCTGCATGCAAGGCAAGTGCCTCTCACCCCCTCTACCTTCTCTCTCACTCTGATTATTGTGGGTTTTTTTTTTTTTTTTTTTGGCTTTTTGGGTTACACCTGGCGATGCTCAGGGCTTACTCCTGGCTCTGCACTCAGGAATTACCCCTGGTAGTGCTCAGGGGACCATATGGGATGCTGGGAATCGAACCCGGGTCGGCCACGTGTAAGGCAAACGCCCTACCTGCTGTGCTATTGCTCCAGCCCCTGATTATTGGTTTTTAATTATGATTAGTTTGGGAGTTTGTTGACTTAATTTCTTTCCTTTTAGTTTAGTCTTCTCATTGCAAACTAGTCTAATACTTTTTCCTCTTTGGTACAGGAAATAAAACGTCTTATGTTTGTGAGGAGTTCCTGTATTGAGAGTTTTATTATTTATTTTTTGGTGTTTGGGCCATGTCAAGCAGTGCTCAGGGATCATGTGCTCTGTGATCAGAATCAACTTGATCACCATGTTTCCTTAATGATTTATGAAAAGAATAAGCTCTTTCGGCAGTCACTTTCCTCTTTCTGTCCTCTGAGAAGCTTTTGCAAAGGGAAAGGGGTTAGGTGAGACTAACAGAAGCAATGGAGTATGTGCTTGCTCAGTGCCCTCTCCTTGTATATTTTAACTCCCAGTTCTTAGTATGTATATTCTTTTTTCTTTGTGGTAGCTCTAGAGTTCTGAGTTTCACATACAGTTTTAGGTATTAAAAAGCTTTTGTTGCTTTCATATATATATGCATACACACATATATTCCTTGATTCTTTATAAATAGGGAAAGCTAAGAAAATTTATTAGGGTTTAAGCTGTGTTGCATTTTCTAAATTGGCATGCTCTGATTTACTTTGGCATTCTTGAAACTCAGACCTACCTTGTAAGGTAGCAATCTAGAACTTAGAGATGGAAGGTAAGCAATCAGGATTCAAAAATATTGCTTTTGGGAAACAAATTAAGAGGTTGGTAAGTGTAGTTGTGGGCAATGGGAATACAGTTGGAAGTGTACTAGTTTGTTTTTTTTTGGGGGGGGTTGGGGATTGCACACTCAGTTGTGCTTACTCTTGACTGCAGTGATCACTAATGGTGGGATCAGGGGACCATATAGGCTGCTGGAGAGCAAATCTGGGTCAACCGCATGCAAAGCTAGCACCTTACCTGCCTGTTCTATTTCTCTGGGCCTGAAATTGTACTTGTTTAAAAAAAATGTCAAATATGTGACCTTTGCCACCATTGATTTCTCAAAGATGCTTTCAAGAAAAGCATCTTTGTCCTTACTAGCTTACTTATGTTTTCCTGTTTAATAATATAAGATAATCTGATTACTTGGTACTATTTTTATCTTTATAGGTTTTAAAAAATCCGGGTTTTTTTTGGGTCACTTGATGATGGTCGGGTTGCCTTTTGGCTCTGCACTCAGGAATTATTCCTGGTGGTACTTGTGTATCGGGAAGATCATATGAGGTGCCAGGATCAAACCTGGGTCTGCTGTATCCAGGGCAAGTGCCATACCTGCTGTACTATCTCTTCAGCCCCATAAAGCTAATTTTTTTATCATTTAGTATTTGGTTGGTTGTGAAAGACTTGTCATAGTCAATCATTGATGAACTTGATTCAGAACTGTGTTAGCACTGTCTGTAGCACTGTCCTCCCGTTGTTCATAGACTTGCTCGAGCGGGCACCAGTAACGTCTCCATTGTGAGACTTGTTGCTACTGTTTTTGGCATATTGGATACACCACGGGGAGCTTGCCAGGCTTTGCCTTGCGGGCGAGATAATCTTGGTAGCTTGCCAGGCTCTTTGAGAGGGGTGGAGGAATTAGACCCTAGTCGCCCCAGTGCAAGACAAAAGCCCTATCTGTTGTGCTATCGCTTCAGCCCTACAGCAGAACTGTGGTAGTATTAAATAATTTAATAAAATAATAATTTGACTTTTTGTTGTAAAATAATCCTTTATTGAAACAGTTCCCTTTGTAGTCCTTAATTAGAGGGCATTCCATTGCATCAATGTTATTGATATGAGGATGGGATCTATCAACTTTCTAGCCCTCAAAACTGCGCAGGATCATTTTTAGAGATCCAGAAAGCTCCCCTTCCCTTCCCTTCTCCCTCCCTTCCTTCCTCCCTCCCTCCCTTCCTTCCTTCCTTCCTTCCTTCCGTTTTTATTGAAAATGTGAAGGGAGAGAAAGAAGAAATAAGAGTTTGAGAGATATAGAGACAATCAAAGAGACATAGAGATAAGCGAGATACAGATTCAAGGGAGAATACAGGTTTGAAGAGCAAACCTCCAGAAAGTTTCTAAGTCTCCAAAGATCTTTGACTTTATTTTTCTTTTAAAGAAATAGTGACATTTGCATCAAAAGCAATATTTCCACTATGCTGAGGGTTTCGGAGATAAGGACAGAAACTTCATTGTGGGCTTGTTTATTCTAATGGCTAGTCTCACCTTAATTCTTAGACCCAGTCACCGGTTGTCTTGGCATTGTCACCACCAGTGGGGAAGTCAGTGACACATTTTACTTTTGCTCCCAAGATTGGACCCCTGGCTCTATCTGCAAATTTCTTGAATTTGGTTTTAAAATATTCTAAACTTATCATGTTAAGCGAAATGACTCAGGAAGAAAGGGTTAGATATAGAAAGATTGCATTCATCTGGGGAACATAAAGTAACAAAATAGGAGACTAACACCCAAGAATGGCTGAGATTAGTACCAGGAAGGTATATGTGCATTATTTATATTCATGTACATGTGCCATTGTTCAAGTTACTGAGCTCAAAACATTAAAGGGAAGTTGTTTTGTTTTAGGGCACACACAGCTGTGCTCAGGGTTTTTACTTCTGGCTCTGCACTCAGGGATCATTCCGGTTGTATTTGGGAATCATGGAGTGCCAGAGACCTGAGTCGGCCATATACAAGGAAGATACCCCACTTACTCTATTATAATGAGTGTCATTTTAAATGAAAAATCGTAAGAAATCATTGTTTCCCCTGTTGAATGCTATTTAATAATAGTGTGAAAACAGTGATTTT